TTTTCGAACACTAATACAAACAATTTAATTACGTTTTTCCGGTCTAACGGGTTGATTATAACTAATTAATATAATCCGTTGTAAATTTGATGTGTAAGAAAAACAAATCAAGATTAAAAAAATAGAGAAATTTAATGAACTACTTACATTGATATCCGTAGAACGATCTTCATGATCATCAACACGTGAATTCTCTCTTTTGACATGAACACTATGAGTCTCATCGTCGACGATAATATTCTGATCATCACGTGAAACCTTATCTCTCTTCTCCGCCGATCCGAAAAAGTCAACTTCATCCATCACCACACGATGCTGTGGCTGCTTCGTATTGTCACGTGGACCTTCAAGACTCACCGGAAACCGAAACATATCTCTCTATAGATAGACTTGTTAGATTTTGCTAGATGTTATATTTCGAAACCCTAGTACAAAAAAAGAGGATACGATGTTACTTTCCGGACAATAAAAGGTACATATATCTTTTTATCCAGAGAGTGTGTGTGTGATTGTTCCGTACCATATCTAATCCTCCATATATAGAGAGGTGAAGAAGAAGATATCTTAGAAGAGAGAGAAAGAAAGATACTTTCTTTGAGTATGTGGTTAGAGACGAGGATAGAGAAGAGACCTTATTACCGAACCAAATGCTTCGGCTACAAAAAGGGTTTGACGTGGACTCAGATATTGTCAATTTTTTTACTTTAAAACATATATAATTCTCTCCTCTTTCTAAACAATAATAGGATTAGTGTGAAAGACAATGTTGTTGTGTGTCTATATTTGTTTTATACTTGCAAGTTTTGGATTCTCGTGGAAAGATATTTGTGGAGATTTTGGTTTGGTTCGTTTTGCGTCAGTGTAGACGTCATTTGTCTACCAGCTAACATTGACCTACGCTATTAATTTTTAAGTATTATCGAACAGATCATGCGATGAGATCCAACTAACTACATGCCGTTTCTGATTTTTTCTTAGGGACGTGTTGTCGTTTTTCAGGTTCAACAAAAAAAAAAAACTTTTCAAGTATAAGATATTTTATTTTGTACTTTTGTTACACATAGTTAAGTTGAAAGGAATAGGAAAAAAAAAAGATGAACGTAATTAAACGGAATTGATACAAGATAATTTAGAGCAAAATGAATTCAGTTTTGTTCTTTCCTATTTACTAGAGAATTTTTATTTCCTTATGTATTCTTAATTATTCTAACGAACATCGTATAAATCTTCTTTTATATTTTCAATTTAACTGATAATAATAAAGCAGAGTCCATTATTCCTTTAAACTATTTTTTAGTGTTTTTTACTAGCTAAAGTCACTATAGTTTATTCAGGACTATGTAATGTTTTACTAGCCCTTATTCCCTCTCCTTGCTGTTTTCTTATTTTTAGAATTTTTGTTTTTTTAGAATTCAGTTGAATTTTTCTAGTACGATCTTTTTTTTCAACTCTTGGATTCATGGTAAAAATATTAGAAAATAACAGAATTGTTAACAGAAAAGTTTAATTTATACTAGCTAAATTAACAAAAGTATTTATGTCACTACACTCTGAATAAAGTTTTGTGTATTGTTGGACACCCTTTTATTGCGAAATTATTCTAGTATTATTTGGATTACTACTGGAAAATCTCACCTAAGAATGTTGTTTTCCTAAAATTAGCACTTTAATCTAGGATTTGTTTTTCCCAGAGACTTTGTCCTAATTAGTAAAACTTTGAAATCCTTGATTGATCAAGTCAATATGAGCTTTAC